AATGATACATAGGAATGTGTCACATTCTTTGTCTTACACCTTGTCCTTCTCATCTTCCACTTCTTCCTCTTCCTCCTCTGCATACGTGCAAGATAACAACAAAATCTTCCATTCCATGCAAATGAAAACATAGTAACTCATACATCAAATATGACAATAATCCCAACTGAGTTTTTGAAGGCCCCAAGGAAACCTGGAAGGGTACATTCTTGCTAGATCTGTAGATATATGAAGGTGCTATGATGAAGAAACTAGTGGCAGTTCAGACCCAGAAGACATTCATTCGTTCATTCTCTTTCTCATTCTCTCTCTCTCTGGCCTATTCTCTGATATACCCAAATATTGCTATGTTAGGAAAAGCAATATACATTGGATTCTGTCTGCTATTTAAAGCTGTTAACGGCAGAGGAAACAAGCCAGGAAGCCAGAAGGGAAATGTAACTCTCATTTCCATGCTGTAATTAGGTTATAGGTGAAGTGAGGTCAGAACTTGGAAAAGTTACTTTGTAAGTCTACAAATTCCCAGAGTTACCCCAACAGGATAGACAACCAGAGATCAGACAATAGTCATACTAGCTGGAGCAGTGTATGAGATGTAGTCCAAAAAGGTAACTTTTCTAACCTCTGAGTAAGATCTGACAAGTCTTTTTTTGCATCTGTATAGCATTACCAGCTATTAGATCAGCCACTTTTCTTACATAAGGGAAAGTGGCAATTTTATTTGACTCATATTTTGGTAAGAATATGCTGAAAAAATGAAATTTTCTTCATAAAACAATGAAATGAAAGTAAGAACCTTTTTTTTAAAAAAAAATGGACTTAGGAAACATGAAATTGACAGTTTCAGCTGAATGAGTTAGGGCCTCTACAGACGGTCGGCCATGGGATTGGGGCCCTACACCTTGGCCCCAATCCACCCTTTCGGCAACTGGCAAAGGAGTGCCAAAATAGTACTCCTTTCCCAAGCCGTGGAAAGGGTGCTGCAAGAGCCGCCGTGCAGATCTTTTGCAGCTCTTCCATTGCAGTCTGTAAAAATGCTGCGCTGGAAGGATGTCATCAGAGCACTCGCCATGTGCAATGGCAGGCACTCTGATGACATCCTTGGGAAGGGGTTGAGATGTCCAGTGTCCGGCCGCCCCTCCCCTTCCCTGGCTCCAAGACAGTGCTTTGCCCCTTAGACTGCTTAGTCCTTTAAAAGTCTGTCTTTTCATCCTTGTGTATTAACTTGTATTTGGAATGCTGAATTAGTGTTGCCACCTCTTTTCAAAATGCCTGGCAGACAGCTTTGCCAGGGACCACTTCATACTAGCAATGGCTACATGCAGTGATTTTAAGCAGTTCAGATAGGTGAGAAATGTATTTGCTTTGCTTTGATATTAACTGAACTGAAATTTAAGAAGTCTTCCTAAATGGATTGTAAATGTTCCTGAGACTTGTGAAAGTGGGACAAAGTGAAATTGACAAATTAATCCTTCCCTATCTCTGTCCGTTTATCTCAGGAGCACTTAACTTGTACTCTCTGGGTCTCTAGGGGGCATAGATTGGTTTCAAGGGTCTGTGAATTGGCTACAAAAGTGTTTCCCTTTCCTGTTTTCCTTCCTGTTGTGTGTGTGTGCCAGTGTGGCATAGTGGTTTGCATGGCAAACTACAACTCTGGAGACCAGAGGTCAATTTCCAGCTCAGCAATGGAAACCCATTGGGTGACCTTGGGCAAGTCACACTCTGTCAGTCTCAGGGGAAAGCAATGGCAAATTTCCTCTGAACCAATCGTGCCAAGAAAACCCCATAATAATTTCACCTTAGGGTTGCCATAATTCAGAAATGGCATGAAGACACACAACACACACACAAACATTAAGTGGGAAAAGTTTAGAATTTTCAAGTGTTCACTGCAGTTTTGGGACTAGTCAATGTGAAGAAAATCAATTTCCAATAAAATAAGTTGCACACAAAATTGTATATATTTGCCCTGGGGAGAATATCTATAGCGTTTCTTAGATTTTCAAAGTGTTTTCAACTGACAAAACCACCTCTGAGTATTCCTTGCCTTAAAAAAAACCCTATGAATTTCATGGGCTTGCAATAAATCAACAGGCAACTTGATGTACACACACACACACACACACACACTAAGGGCCTCTGCAGATGGGCCTTTTGCGGCATATTGAAGGCAAGGAAGTGGAGGGGCAGCCGGATGCTGGGCACCCCATCCCTTTCCTGAAGACACCATCAGAGCGATGGCCCGTCCACACGACGGACATTCCAATGACATCTTTCCAGCTAAGTGTCCGCACACACTGAGCTGGAAGAGATGCCAAAGATGCATGCCACACCTTTTGCGGCTCCCCTTTCGCAGTTTGCATAAGGAGCGCTATTTTAGTGCCCCTTTTGCAGGTGGCGAAAGGGAGGATCGGGGCTGAGGCGTCTGGCAGCCTCGGCCTCGGTCCTCTGCTCCTGGGGCAGCCCAGGGCCGCCTGTCTGCATCCCCCCTAAGTGAAAAAGAGACTAACAATTATCGCTTTAACTATGGAGTTTATCACACTGCCCTTTCCCATTCCTTCCTCCTGAGCTTGGTGCGGGATGCAAAATTTTTAAACACGGATTTTATCTCACACTTCCATGTCAAGGCAGGAGGCATTCTGTACCCGATCATGGCATCTCATACCCAATCCAGACCTGATCTGGACTTCTCACACACTTTGCAAAGAATGGGGAAATCCCATTCTTTAAAAAAAGTGACAGAGAAGTCTGTATTGGATACATGATTCCATGATCGGGTATGGGATGCTTTCTGCCTTCCTGTGCAATAAAATCCATGTTTAAAAGTTTTAATCCCACACCTAGCTTGGGAGAAAAGGATGGGAAAGGGAAGTGCAATAAACTCCTACAACTTGATTTTATCAGGCAAATATTTCCCATTGTGCTAAGAAAAGCTTCTCCTGCAGTTCAAGCTTCCCTTAAAAGCACAGCCAAAAGGCCAGACCATTTTTATAGTCAGTTGGCCACCTCATATATAGCACAGTCATCTAGGCTGGAACCCTGTGTCTTACACATGTTAGACATGTGTTGGACATGTTTGACATTCTTGTCCAGTGCACAATATCCCCATTCATTTCAGGTATGTGTAAGAGGAGTTGTGCATATGGGACTACTCTTTGGGCAGGTGTGCATTTCTGTAGCTGCACACACATGCATGCAGGTGCACATGTACATTTGGTTTCATATTTGGTTGTGCATTCATAGAATCCTAGAGCTAGAAGAGACCTCAAGGACCATCTAGTACAACTTCCTGCCATGCAGGAATACACAACCAAAGCATCCCTGACAGATGGCCATCCAGCCTCTCTTTAAAAAACCTCCAAAGAAGGAGACTCCACAAGCTGCATGAACATTGTGCCAGGCAACACAAGCATTACATAGTACAATAAATACATATGTTTTCATGGAGACATTTATAGGATGCAATCCTGATGTAGCAGTATCTTGGCAATTGTAAGGATTCTATGAAATGTCAGACATGGCTTTTTGTCTCATGTTATTCAGCATCCTGGTTCTCTGGATTATGTTCTGAATAACTGAAAAGGCTTCTCTTTTGATCGGATTCTCTTCAAGACTATAGAGGCAACATGCTGTTCACTGAACTCAGTTTTTCATGTTTTTTTTTTTCTCTCTTCACAAAGTTATCAAGTAGGTCATTCTAATTTTTCAGGTCTAACCATTTTTTTTTATTATGAATATAAGAAAAACAGACAAGCTAAAGAGAGGCTGCAGCTGTTTGTTTCTGCCTGGAAAGGGCAAGACTGCCCTCACCTCTCCCAGCACTGAGTTAACTGGGTGCAAATTACTTTTGCAGTTTGAATTCAGTTTGCAGCAATTGAAGCAAGCTGAGGATATAGGGGGAAAGTGGGAGGCAGAGAGAGAAAGTGGGACATTTGAAAAGCAGTTGAAAAAAGTGAAATGACAGAGGATTAATTTGGACTGTCTCTGCCAAACTGGAATAGTTGGAGGGTATAATTTTGAATGTAGGTATTTTACTTGGCCTTTCCCAAGACCAAAACATATCAGGCTTTTAAAAAACAACAATTCTTTGAGCATCTTGAGATAATATCTCCATTTTCTTCTGCAGATTTAAGTGACTGCTCCCAGTTTCTATTTCCTTTGATTTCAGAAATTTGCCAACATATCAATTTATGTGCAGAAGTGTTAAAATCTATTGGCAAAAGAGCAAAAAGGGGGAGGAGAAAGAGTGGGATAAAGAGGAGCCAGATTACATCAGATCCAGACTTCATCCAGTCCAAGGATGCAGGTTTCCCCCACTTAAATGATCGAACAGTTCATTCTTATTTTTCAGATCTAACATTTTTAATTGCCATTTTATTACTGAATCATAAAATTGGGAGTGATCCCAAGGGACAGGTTAAGTATCCACCATATTAAAAAATATAGCCATGCTTGCTTTCTGCTTATGTTGTTCATTAGGAGAATTTTCCTCTTGATACTTGTTCATGACAATTTGTCTCTTTTGACTCTGGAAAATATTCCACTACTCATTGTCTGTAATCTCTCTCTCTCTCTTTTTTTTTCCTCCTATAGCTGGGTTTTTAGCAATGAAGTGATGCTTCCTGAACTCCTTTTCTTCCTTCCTGTTTCTACAACTTTTTTGTTATTTCTTTTCAGATTTGTTTCACCTGACAGTCTGTCAAAGTGATCCTCACCCGGCAGTCACACCTTCTGTTAAGATTAATATAAACTCAAAACACCTGTGCTTCAGATGCTCTGGGAACCAAAAGGCTTCCTGCTGGATTTATTTGATTTTCCTTCCCCAGCTACAGCCAGTTCTCACAGCATCACCTCAGATAACACTCATGCTAGTTTGATGAATGTGTTTTTTATGTGGGATGCAATTATCATGTCCGTCATAGCTGGTATTCTAACTCAAGACCATTGCACCATTACAATCACTACCAATCAATTAGTCAACCACTTTTTATACTGTTGGTGCTAGTGTAGTGTAGTGGTTTGAGTGTTGGACTATGACCCTGGAGACCAGGGTTCAATTCCCAGCTCAGCCATGAAACCCTTTGGGAGATGTTGGGTGAGCTTCAGGGAATGGCAATGACAATTTCCCTCTGAACAAATCTTTACAAGAAAACCCCATGATAGTCTTGCCTTTGGATCACCATAAATTGGAAATGAAGGCACACAACAAATTCATACTGTGCCTTCTCCTCAAGACTGGTACTCAAGGCTGCTTATAGATAAATATGAATCAACTTGAATCTAGCTGAAAACAGATCAAAAGATAAATAAAAATAAGGATTAATTTAGCATTGAAAAGTGTTTGTAAAATTAAAACAATTTAAATCATTAGAAGCAGAGTAAAGTAGTAGTAGTAGTTGTTGTTGTTGTTGTCTGCCTCTAAGTTGTTTCAGAATTATGGCAACCCTAAGGTGAGCCTACCATGGGGTTTTCTTGGCAAGTTTCTTCAGAAAGGGCTTCCATTGGTAAGGCGAGCCTACTATGGGGTTTTCTTGGCAAGTTTCTTCAGGGCTTCCATTGGGCTTCCATTGCCATCCTCTGAGGCTGAGAGAATGTGACTTGTCCAGGGTCACCCAGTTGGTTTCCATGGCTGAGCAGGATTTTGAATCCCAGCCTCCAACACTCAAACCACTACACCATGCTGGCTCTCCAATAAAAGTAGTATAGCACACTAAAACAGACAAAAACTTAGATGTAAACCAATCAGTATTAGAATAGGAACCTGCTGATGATACAACAGGAAGGTGGAGGCTCTTCTAGTCTTCCAGAATCTGGGAGTAGTCAAAGAGAAGGCCTTCTCTTGCATTCTTACCAAAAATGTTGTGAAATGAAGATGCACCTTTCTCAAAGATCTTTTAGACCAGGAAGGCTCATGTGTGTAGATATAGTCCTTCAGAAAGCCTGGACTTTATAGGTATGACTGACAAAATTAAAACTGGAAAGGGCTCCTATAGCTTTAATAAATTTTAGCAAGGGTTGCTTGTCATGAAATCAGATAATAAGATCATCTGCTGAAATCTCCTCTTTTACATAACTATTAAAGGTATAGAAGTACTCTCCAGTTTTCACTCTGCCAGCCCTATAATATCCAGCATGTTGTATTGTATTTGGAAACCTAGAGAAATAAGAGACAGCCTATTTCTCTTCTCTCTGTGGGAAAGCCTGGAATAGATTGTTGTTTAGCTTCTGCCTTGTATGTTTGTTCACTTTGCTTGAGAAGTCCATACTATCTCTCAAATTCCCATCAATCTGTGCATATTGTTATGCTCTTATTCTAACATACTCAGTTATTTTCACATTTTATGGATCTTACACATGCTCCCGTTGAATAATTTTATTTATTTATTTATTTATTTCAAGGATTTATATCCTGCCTCTCTTGCACTAAGGCATCTTTATGCATATTTTTCAGTTATATGTAGTTTCAGGAATTTAAATTTTATGATGAAGTGTATTTCTTCTCACAAGCAATTGTTGTGAGATGCAACAAAATTGTGTATGGCAGACGTACTTTTCGCAAGCAAGGTAAGATAAGGTATGGTAAGATAAGGCTGATGGTGGATTAATATCCATTTATTGCCACCATTGCCTCAAGTTTATTATATACTTTTTCTGATATGTTTTTCTCAGTTTTTTTTCCTTCTGTTGATCAGATGTGTTAAAATCAGTGGGACATATTGGTCTATTTATTAGTCATGATTCTAAGCATGATTATGTCTCATCCAGTCCATAGATTGTGCACAAGTTTTCCAAATCAGGACTAAAAATTTGACATCAAGTTTAATTTTGTGCTCACAAGGATGTTTTGTCAATTTCTTTTGTTCTCTCTAATTCAGATAACAATATTTATTACCAAAGCAGTCTCTTGTTTGAAGCTGTGAATTACCAATTAAAGTTGATCCCTTGAAGTAATCTTCACTTTCCTCCTTCTTTGTGACTGATACACATTTCAAATATAGCATTAAGGGGAAATGAATGCTGTGGTTTATTTTTTTCCCTTTGAAAAAACCTTATTATTTATTCTGCAACTGCACTCTAAATCACACAGATGAAGGAACAATTAGACAGCCTGCCTTTCAATTATAATCTGAATTTCATGTAAACAACATTAAATCTAAGAAGGTTAATCCTGCTTGGGTTGAAATGAGCAAATAACAGGAAATAAAGAAATTGTTGTTTTTTTAAAAAAAAATGAGCCAGCAGATGTAGCAGTTACAGACCAGGAAAAGTTTGGGTCTAATGAATGTTTACTTTTTCATTTATTTCTTTAAAATTATTTCAATGCTCTTTACTAAAAAAAATATTAAAAATTACATTTAATGATATATTTCTTTATATCCAAAGATTTCAAAGTGTGTAGGTATGCAGACCTGTAACACATACTAAGGAAGATCAAAAAAGAAAGTGCTAAGGCAGGCTTAATGGTAGACATAATGAAAACAAAAATAATGACCATCGAGGACCTTCACAAGTTCAACCTAGACAATGAAGAAATAGAAATAGTAAAAGAATTCCCATACCTGTGATCAAACATTGATAGAAATTGGGACTACAGTCAGGAAATCGGAAGAAGACTAAGAATAGGGAGGGTGGTTATGAAAAAACTAGAAAAGATTCTAAAATGCAAATATATACATCTCAGCCCAAAAGTTATAATCATACAAGCCATTGTATTCTCTATTATCATGTATGGATGTGAGCGCTGGATAGTTAAGGAAGATGATAGGAAGAAAATCACCTCCTTTGAGATGTGGTGCTGGAGAAGAGTGCTGAGGATCCCATGGACAGCCAAAAGGATAAACAGTTGGGTCCTAGACCAGAAACCTCCCTGGAAGCCAAGATGACCAAACTAACTGCCTTTGCAGACTGCCAGAAATAGTGCAAATTGGTTGGAAAGGACTGAAAGGGCCATCTAACCTCTGCCATACAGGTACACCACCAAAGTATTCCCAAAAGATGGTCATCCAAGCTTTGTTTAAAGAAGAAAAATCCGCTACCCTCTGAGGCTACTGTTCTGCAATGGAAAATTTCTTACCACCACGAGGTTCTTCCTAATGTTTAGGTGGAAACTTCTCTCTTACAATCTGAATCTATTGATCTATGTCCTAGTCTCCAGAGCAGACAGGGATGGGGAGGGCCAGCTGCACACCAGCCACCTCAACCGCTCCCTGAAGATGTCCTGACAGCATGTGCCATTATGCATGGCACGTAGCATCAGGACATCCTTTTGGTTCAGCCTTTTGATGCGCTGTGCTGGAAGGGGCATCAAAGAGCCACGTGGTGGCTCTTAGGACACCCTTTTGCCAGCTTTGACAGGAGCGGCATTTTGCCATTCTTTTCCGGGTTGGCAAAAAGGACGATTGGGGCTGATGTGTCTGGCAGCCTCAGCCTTGATCCTCCTTTTCCTGGGGCAGCCAGGGCCGCCCATCTGCATCTCTCCTAAGTCACTCCTTTTAGGACATGGTTTCAATAGGACATGTATTCTTCATACTGTCTAGCCATCAAAAGCCTGTTAGAGACTAAGCATCTCTGTGTGTGTGTGGATGTGTGTGTGTACACACACACACACTCAGGAAATAAGATGATTTGACATTGCCTCCTACAGTGCAGTTCCATAGCCAATTGCAATAGCTACTATCATGTCTACAGTTTTCCTAATTGAAGCCCCATAAGTATCCTTTCTTTGAGCTTGGTTTGGGATTTGGTACTGATATCGCTCCACCGCAGGATGAGGCAGAGTGCAGAAAAAATTGACAACAGGGCTTTTGTGCTGGAAGTCATTAGTTTCTCCACTGGTTGGGTTTTCTGTAGCTTCCAATATTCTATCACCATCCAGATGCATAAATACACATCACCCAGCATCATGGATCTATCACTCAGATCTAGATTCGACTCATTCACTTGTTGACTGTAAAGCTCTCCCATTATACGTGTGCTTAGAGATCACAGTTGCTACTTTCCATAGTTGTACAGCTGCAGCCAGACACACCTCACTGTGTCTTTGTGGACAGTCACTGACTAGGGATGGTGCAGTTCTTTTGCAAATCCAAAGATACATATATTAGCACTAGTGTAAGTATATCAGTCTTCATACACAGTCCTAATCATGCCTGTTATATAATACAGGTTGTGTTTCCCTTATCCAAAATTCTTGGGACCAAAGGTATTTTAGATTTTTGAATTTCTTTTTTTT